CACTTGTCTATAGCGGGAACACCTGCACGTGTGAGCCATCACCCCTCTGAAAGATGCAGCTGCTGTAGAGGATTCTATGATATTTGGAGTGGGTAAGATAACTTCATTTGTGACACCTGCGTGAGTAGGGTGTCGTATTCTCTTATTGTTCTCTTTCTCTCAGGTTCCTGTTTACTTGACCACTTTTGTAATAAATATTGAGTTTATTGTTGAGTTCTCAATCTCGGCATCCTTGTTACATTTTTTGGCGATGAGGATGGGATGCCAAACGTGAAAACACACCATTGTTAGGGAGGGATTTGTGTCTCTCCCTGGGCTGTTCCTTGGAACAGGGGCTTTGCGAGATTGTTTTTGTTTTTTTTTTCCTTGCCTCTTTCTCTCTTGCTTGTTAAGTGAAGCGAGACTTGCAGGGGGGAAGGATTCTCCCTGAAGGGCCGTGCCACTCCCAAAGAGTTAATCAGAACTCGCAGGCGGCGGTGGCAGAGGCTCTGCCTGTGAGACTGTTTTCCTACTTGCTAGGAGGGGGACGAGTCTCACCCCCTATGCTGGTCCTACGGGGATGCCCCACAAAGGGGGGGTTACTCTTGCCTGACGCAGTGGTTCCATGAGATTGCGTTGCATTTCTCTGAAAGGGGGGGAACAGGCTTGAGAGCTCAGCCATCACCCCATATTTCCCTGTTGGTTTTGTGTTAGCTGTGTTGCCTGTGCCTTCCCCTTCTCACCTCCCTTTTCTCCTGGTGAGGCAACCTTCCTAAGTGTAGGGGTGGAGTGTAGGAATAGATACATTTCCAAAAGAATTTGTATCTGCCTAGGTGATGGCTCTTTCTCAAAGGCAGTTTCAATGCTTTTCCCTCCCCACCCCCCCACCTGCCACAGCAAGAAAAGTTCTCAGCCTTGCTCTCTTGTATGCAGAGATAAAATGTTTGCAGACATGTACATGTACAAGGCCTCCTTGGGCCAGAGAGAGTGGGGGAGGAGAGAAGATACAAAAAGTCGAGGAGGAGGAGGGCCTTTGCCTTTTGCCCCTGGGGCCCAATGCATGCACCATCATAAAAAGTGGTCCTTGCATCTGAAATAAACCTTTTTTTTTTAATCCTTCCACTGCCTTGGCATTCTTGGTAAACATACCTGCGTAAGTTTACCTTACACTAATGTCAAACCTAAACCTCCCCTGGCGCAGCTTAAGACTGTGCCCTCTTGTCCTGCTAGTTGCCTGGGAGAAGAGACTAACCCCCACCTTGCTACAACCTCCTTTCATGTGGTTGTAGAGAGTGATTAGGTCTCCCCTGAGCCTCTTCTTCTCCAGCCTGAACAATCCCAGCTCCCTTAGCTACTCCTCATAGGACTTGTGCTCCAGACCCTTCACCAGCCTTGTTGCCCTTCTTAGGACATGCTCCAGTACCTCAACATCCTTCCTAAACTGAGGGAATGACTCAGAGAAGAGAAAACAGCAATTAAGAGGACTACTTCCTAGCCCTTGCCACTAGTCTTCCACATTCAGTACAGCCTACCACCCCTGCTGCATCCCTTGATGTAACTACAAAACAACATTTTCCCCAACCTCTCACTGCTATTTCTCTTCTTCACCATGGTGCTTTATGGTACAACATATTGGGAGAAGGAGGGGTGGGTGCATGTATTTTTGTGGCACCTTTTGAATTGGAAGTTAATTCACGAGCAACCTGTTTATCATATATCTATTTAATAGTCTGATAATTTACTGTGTGCAAAAACACTTAACCTAAAAGAATAAAGCATATTTCATATGCTGGAACCAAAGACAGAACAAGCTTTTTATCAAAAGGCAGGAACTTGTTATGATTTTCAGCATGCTATTTGGAGTGAAAAAATTCCCAAGTAGTGAAATAAAATACAAGTTTTTAACTACTGCAAACAGCTCTAATATAAATTAAATTACTACTTACCAAAATCTACTCTTGTTAGTATGCACTGCATTGGATGGTCAGTTGTATGTCTTGTTGTTGTTGCACCACTCTCATAACAAGTTGCACACAAATCATAATCGTAGCAAATTAAACACTTGTATCTGCGACCTCGAAAATTTCCTTTTAAACATGCATCACAGCTGACACCTGTGAACAAAGAAAATTGCTTGAAAACAATTATTTCACATTGGTTTAATGATACAGATTTGTTGCTATGGCCCCCAACAACGAAAGAAATTTAACCAAGAAGGTTTTATGGAGATTATGCACAATAAGACTAAATTTTAAGCATATTTATATCTTCAAAAAGCTGATAATCATCCAAAGTGAAAGTCAAACTCAAAGTAAAATAAAAAACCAGTCAAGCACTCAAAATGATAATTTTTTAGGATATAAATTCTTTTTAATCACTTTTTTCCACTATTTGAAAGCTTGGTTCAAAATACTCTCAAGATTAAAATAGTACAGTTTGTGAAAACAGTGATAAAGGGTTATCAAAATATAAAGCAATAATACAAGATTGTAGCTTTAGTTGCTTACTAGCTAATTTTTAGATAGAATTAGGATAGGGCCTTGCTTGCTTGTGCTAACTCACAGACAGGATATTTTATAATGAAGACTTTAGCAGGAACAGAAAACCTTAGGGTGTAGATAAGGGGCTTTGAAGCTCATGAGAAATAGACCTTGAAAGTTGATAAAGAGAAGCTCCTGGTGAAGATACCAGTTTTGAGTTAATTGGACAGTGCCAACTCAGCAGTTCTTAGCAAAGGTAGAAAGTTCAAGCTGAGGAAGACTTCTTACTTCATCCAAAAGACCCCCAAAAACCCCCCAAAAGAAAACCCCAAGGGGGCATTCCAAGGCGGAGTTATAGGAGTGGTGTATGTTAATGATTTCCCCTTCCACTTTTCTGGAATTTGCTGACACAGCTAATGCATATGTAACACAACTAATGTATATGTAACATTATATTGCATAAAAGGAGCTGAACAAAGGGAATGGGTGTGCGTGATTGGAGGAATCATCCCCCATGCACCCAGTGCTGTGAATAAACATACATGCTTCAATACTCTTTGCGAGTTTGGGGGTTTGTTTCCGCAAGTCACAGAAAAACAAAGAAAAAGTCCACAGCAGGCCATCCTGCAAGTCACAGAAAACCACACACCACCACCACCAAATAAACCACCCCTCCCTGGATTTTGTGTTTATTTTTATACTTTCTAATAGTTAAATTCTGAAGAATACCACAACCATTTTTCACAATATAAACATATCTGACAGTAGAAATTTAGGTCTTCTATTTTGAAGTACAGAACAACTTTGAATACTTAATATTACATTGCATCATCTCTTAACCTTCTTCCTTTTGAAAGTTTAATCTTTGCACTGTAAATCAATCAGTCACACTGCTTGGGTCAGGAAAAAGCTTCATTATCTTCTAAAGGGTTTTGCAATTTTCTTTGTGTCATTTCAGTTCTCTGCTGTTAATTTAGATAAGGGCAAAGGAAGCATCATCATCTTTTCATCTGTCAAGGCCCACAAAAACTTCCTTTGCTTGCAGTAGTAAATTAAAGACCTTCGTGATAATAACTAGTGTGTACAACATACGATATTTTGATCGAAGTCCTCTTTTAAGAACAATTTAAAAAAGCTTTTCTTAGTTCAGTGCAAATGCAGAAAATGTCTTAGAAACAGTTATTGGAAGAAAGCACCAACATTGACTCCAAGAGGATAAGTAGAGGAAGATCATCAAGATCTCAAAACTGCAAATATCCCAATGGTCATTTCCTACTTATAAACTTTATTATCAGATAAAAATCTAGTATTAACACAAGTCACCACTTCTACCTGTGATGTCAGGTTCAGAGAACAAAATTAAATTACATAGAATTCTCTCAACATCTCTCCAAGGTAGTATTTCTTCATATCATTCTAAAATACCATGTTTTCATTTTGATAACCTGACAGCAGGTGGCATAACATACTACTTTTATACTCTTTAATGTAACAGGAGAGAAAAGCATCAAGAAAAAAACCCTCATACAGTCAGCTCTGTTCTTTTTAACCCATACATTGTGTTAATTAAAATTTTAGGAATTTGCCTCTCTTCACCTTAAAGGCAAAAATATAACCCCCTCCCCCAAAACACTGAAAGATAACAGAATTACAAACTGAACTAAATGCATCCTTTGAGGAAAAACAAACACTCGTGAGGGGTTCAATTATAAGCAGGGAACAAAAAGAACAAATGAATAAAAAATTGTGAAAAGAATTCACCTTTGTCATGAAGTTCTGATTTACATGATGGGATGGTGACTTTTTAAAAGCTTTTAAAATTATTTCCTATTCAATGGAAACTGTTTTCCTGGACCTTCTTCAGGATGGCCTTATGGAAATGATCACAAAAGAGAAATAATCTGGCTTATTTTTAAATAAAGTTTTTGATGCATTTTGTTTTGAAAATACCAAGGAGATTTTTCAAGTTTTTCTACTGTCAATTGCCAATACACAATACTGATTAACAGGCCCAAATAATGACATTTATACCAGTGTACCCTCACCTCACCATCAGAATAACTGGGGCTACCAGGTTTAATTTAAAAAATTGTTGCTCATGGGTAAAAATATGATTGCTTTTTAATGCAACAATATTCCACTAAAGGGTAGTATTAAGCTAAAAGCCTAAAGATTTTTGACTCATTATACCTTTTAATGATCAAACCTCACTCCTAAAGCCATTTTCAACAGTATTCTCAGTAATATTAATCAGTTTCTACACATAAGCATTTTGAACTTATGGATGAATCAAGAGATGCATAACAGTCCCATGAATTAAAGAGGAAAAAAAAGGTTGTTTTACTAAACCACATTGGACTCACTATTCTGGAATGTCAAACACACTTTCTGCCTCTACCATGGCTAAAAATTTCAGACAAGTTATCATACAAGCATTTTATATGCAATATGCTTAATATTAACATATTAAATATATATAGTAGCATATTTATTCTCATATTTCCATTCAAATATAATTTATTCTTATGCTATAACATTTGGTTAATCCCTAATAAAAATAAACAGAAATGAGGAGTTAAGTATTCATCAAAGATGAACATCTAACATCTAGAAAAGGAGACCAGTGCTACATAATATTAGGGTTCAAATATCACCTCACACTGGGATTGATTTTTAAAATTACAAACAAAACTAAGGAGTGAAATCCAATAAGATAACCTGAATACCTAAAATGAAAAGCTGAGTAGCCTTAAATAAGCATAAATAACAACTTACTTTCTCTTTAAAGAGTAAAGACTTTTCCATTTGACTCCCCAATAATATTAGGAGCAGGTAAAAATAACATTGGAAAGTTCACATTACACTTACACAGGATACACAAGACTTCAGGCTTATGAAAAGACCTCAGGAATAGCATTTCAAGGCCATCAGCCTGAGATAAAATTTTAAATCACTTGCTTCCTTTGAGAGTATTATCCAAGACTGGCTCTATCCTGTGTCAGTACTTCACAAGAAAAGCACAGAAGTACTGACTTCCACTTAACTACTAGACAAAGTAGGAACAACATTTCGATGTAAATATAAAACAGTTAAAGAGAACATATCCACTGTAAATAAAGAAGCACTCTTGAAGATGTTAAGCCACAATTACTTCCAACTGAGAACATATACTCAAGAAAGATAACAGATTTTAATTAGAATAAGGTGCAAAGTAGAGAGTAATAACTCATCTCTTCACAATCAAATTAAAATACACAGTCTATGGTTGCCGAGACAAGCAGCTCCAATGACGGCATGATCTGCAGCAGAGTGCTCGTGCCCCTGTGCACAGGCGGGTTTCCTGAACCAGGGCTCATGCGACAGCAGCTGAAGAGACACAGGTTGGACCAGGAGCAATGGCAGCCAAGCCCACACACTTAGAAAAAGCTTCTAGGGAGTGCTAGTGATAAGGGCAGGCAAACAGGACATGGTGAGGCAGTTTGCATGGAATGGCGCTGTAACACTGCCAGCCTGACCAGGAAGCAATGGTTCTCCAAACACTGCACCTGCCACAACTGACACAGCTCCAATGGGAACACACTGATACCCAGGTGTCAGGCTGCAGGATGTGCCCTACTCTTATGCCAGGCAGCAGTAGTGAGCATGCCAGTGGGAGATGCACCAAGGTAGAAGAACTCCTCAGTTTAGTAGCAGAGCTCCAGCAGGAGGTGAGTAGGTTGAAGAGTATCAGGGAGTCTGAGATAGACTACTGGAATTGCACCCTATGTTCCCTGGGACAGGCCTATTAAGCAGACAGGACACATGATGCAGAGGATTCCCTATCCTCTCTCCACCTGGCAGAATGCAGTGATTTAAGGGATAGGTGGGAGTGGCCACAAATTCCTGCCTGGCACAGTAGGTATGTCTCCTCAACGACTACATCACCAAGCAATAGGAGGACAAACGGTGGAACCAAACAATGACAAGGACAATAGATCATCTAGGTTAGAGGTGTCACCAAGGTTGTCAGCCTATGAACTGTGTCAAAACCACTTCCATAAAGAAAAAACAGATGAGTTCTTGTCAGAAGAGACTCTCTTCTAAAGGGAACATAAAGTCAAATTTTTGAAGGAAAGTTTGTTGCCTTCCTGGGGCCCAGCTTAAAGATGTGGTAAGGAAACTAAGTACCCTTCTACAGCCCTCAGATTATTATCCATTATTGTTTTTTTATGTAGGCAGAGATGAAGTTGCAATAAGTCCAAGGACAATCAAAAGAGACTTCAAGGCCTTGGGACAACTGGTTGAAGCATCAGGAGCACAAGTAGTGTTCTCTATTTTTCCAGTTGCAGGGAAGGATGAGGGAAGAAACAGGAAGAGCCACCAGATCAATACCCAACTCCGAGACTGGTTTCACCAACACAACTCTGGGTTTTTTGATCATGGGTTGATCTACATGACACCAAGCTTGCTGGCAACAACACCTTTGTCAAAGAGGGAAACAGATCTTTATACAGGAGTTAAAAAGGGTCATCAAAATAGTTTTGTCCTGGTTCTGGCCAGGACAGGGTAAATTTTTGTAGCAGCCAGAAAGGGCACAGCCAGGACCCTTGAGTTATTCTATACCACCTCACATCACATGCAGGGGATGGATG